TGCACATCTATTTCAAAAATTATTGCTCTGTATTACAAATGTTTACATCGAAGCCCTCAGTATGGCTCGCAACTAAAATGAAAGCGAGCTACATGTTTTGTGTGTCTACTCCATCCTAATACTATGTGTACCCTCCATTTGCCTTTATCACAGCTATTCATCTTTCGTGCATGTTAACCCCACGTAACGGAAGCTTCTTCCGAGCAAAGCATCTGCTGTAACCTCTTTTTTTCAGTGCGTTAGAAATTAAACGTTCACTGCATCCCCAGTGGCTGAAGGGTCCCATCGCTAGTTCCAAATAGCACATCTGTCGATTTTCAGGAGATTTCCGGACGAAAGCCTCAAGCTCATCAGCTTGTTCCGCGCTTAATTTTGGTGAGGGTCCATTGCGAGGCATAGGATTCTATGTCTCTCGAGCACACGTTAGTTGCACTTGCCATCTTGTGATGCCAAGTTCGTCGGATATGTGTTGTAATGTAAAGCCAAGTCTTCTTAGTGTTCTTATTTTAATACACTGATCGCGAGTTAGATGCTTGCGGACTTTATTTTCTAAAGCAGACTTTTCGAGAGACATTGTTTGCTAGAATAGAGGATGAATTGATAGTGGTGTTTAGTTTCGAGAACTGTTTTTGTTTTGTTTTGTTCATTAATGTGCTAGGTTACATAGCTACCGTTGCACTCCTATTGGAGCTTAAGCAAGTGTGGGGTTGGGCCGGATCAGGTTAACTACCGTGAAGTACAGATAAACCTCGTCCCACTTTAATGACCGGACCACCCCAGACTTCACCTATGTGTTGAATCATACCAAGCCTAACCATCCAGAAACCCGCTGTATACACGCCGTAGCGCGATTTCCTCCTCAGCCTCGGCCACCACGCGCCCGAGCCCTTGACATCCTCATTGACTCCGAAATATAAATGCCGTCCAAGATCTCATCGTTGCTCTAGCCTTGCACCTTAATATCGTACCGTTGGGTTGTTTTCGTCATTGGGGATTTGTGTAATCCCCTCGGTGTATCTTCCCTTCTCTTCCTCCTTTGTACACGTCCCGTTTCCATCATGACTTTCCTCATTAGGGCGTGTGTAGGTAGGTGATCGGACGGGTATGGAGGTAGGTCGCAGGTGTAGGATCGATTGAGAAATGCTTTGTCGCAAGTATAAAAGGAGTTTAAGAGATGTCGGATGTTTGAATACGACCCCCAGATAGACCTAGGCCCATTCGTGAATCGCATGTTAGTGGTGATGACTTTTTGTTCGACGATGTTCTGGCTGAGAAATCTCTGCCGACTGATTTTTCGACCAAAATATCGAGTGCAACTCCTTCAAGTCGAAAATCCATCAATTAAAATTCATCCCACCCATTTCGTGACTGAATCTCGGCTCTGGAAGAATATTTCACTCCCAAGTTCGTAGAGGACACCACTGACAGGTGTTCAGCCTTCGTCCTCCGTTTCGAGAACTGTGTAGGTCAGATAGACAAAAGTGTCGTTGAATGTGTGTTTCTCTAAGCGATTGTTTGAAGAAGACGATTGGACCATACTTCATGGCGAGCGGGGTTATAATGAGAGACAGTCCAACCTATTGAGAGCTAGCCGAACTGCACCTACAGGGCTAAACCCTGAAATAACCCAGCTTGAAGTTTTACCTTTTCCAACCCAGGGGCACTGTACTCCTGGCTTGCTTAACTAGTCGACAAACTAGACATGGGCCTACATGAAGACCAAATCAATCTAATCAATATGCACTGGGCTCTAACCCCAATCATTTTGACATTTGTACGATTGGCATCCTTAAGAGACAGTAAATTTGTAGTTGAATGTTATGGAGATCCAGGACATGTACATTATGAGATGTATCTCTTATCAGTAGGAGTAAGAATAAGTCATTCGAATAGAAGCGTTCTTCAATTAGCACAAGTCTTCTCGATATCTACGTTGGTGTTCTACGAACATATGTAGCATCCTTCCAAGGTAGAGATCCAACCCGTATGTGCTCACATTCTTAACATGGGTAAATCTTTTCAGCATCCACACGACTGCCAATGGTGGTGCAACGAGCCAATAAATGAGCTGCTCTTCGTGCTAAAGTTTGGCTGATAATGGGATCTTAGGCCCTATTGAATTTCGCTCACTTTCGCGCCTGGGCTGCGCGGCGTCCTCTATGATCCTTGGAATGAATTATTCTCCCAGAGCCAAGTTCAGTCAAATTTCGCAAAATCAAAGAAGTTGGCTCACGAGGCAATGATTCAATTTACTCCTCCACGTTATTTTTTCGCTCCCAACGAGTTAGACTCCTACCTAAGTCTCATCAAGTCTACAAGTATGACCTAGTACATCCTCATCCCAATGACCACACCTCTCGTTGACCCTCTCTGGCCTCAGTTGACCACCAAATTCACGCCAACGCCGATATTTATACCCGAAGTAGGAAGCAAAGCGTGGCGCAAAAATCTGGGAGACAGTTCTTTGGGATGGACGTGAGAGGGATCAGGACAAGTTGACAAGATGATGCGAAGGAAGGATACAACCTCGAAGGGCATGAAATTTCGGATTTAGGTAAAGAGTTTTTTACAAATTTAGCTTTGTGCGCGCCAAGACTTCGCTTGCGAGATTACAGCTGACACTATAAAAACAAGCCGACGATGGAAGGTGTTGTGGTACGCCTCCTGGTGGTGTTCTCTGGTATAGTTTGAGTAGCCTGGGCACCTAATCCACTTAGGAAGGAGACATCTCAGATCATATTTCGCACGGAGAAAAGTTGATGGATGACGGAAGCATGTCTGGATAACTCAGGGTTTTTGAGACGTTCCCCTGGATGGGTATTCACGAACGAGGGTTGACTTGGGGTGAAGAAAAAGCCGCCATAACTTCGCAGTGGTACTTGCAATTGAAATCCGAGGCATGAGTGCTCTTCCGTTACGTCGAATCATCTATTTTGTACTTTTCTTTGACATTGTGTCAAAGCTAGATAGCTGCATACGCAATTCAAATCAGATGCAAAACAAAATAGACGCACGTGCCAAACAAGCATGCGCTGTTACAGGCTGTTGCCTTGTAGATCGGGTCGTAGTTTATCCGGCTCCGATGAGCTGATTATGTCAGCGAAAAGCGAGAAAACAACTGTGGCTGATGTATGATGATTGGTATATGATTTGGGAATGTACACTTGCGCTGGAACAGCTAAGATAGTATGTGGAGAGATATCTTCATTAGTGTGCAGAAGTGAAGTGACTATGATCATTATTATGTTACAGATTGGGGGAAGCTCGTCCCTTATCCCCTATCTTGTTCGCTTGTAGACCGATCACGTTACCAATATGCAGCTCATCAAAGTGTGCAACCAACTAAGTAGCTATGTTATCGACTTTAAAACTTGTTGTCGATATTGTATATGTATGTCTGTTATCACAGACATTGGAAATAATTCATGAGATTGCTTAATGAGTGGCTAGTATTGATTCCGATATAATATTGTAGAAGACTTGTCCCAACTATCAGAGGGCTACAACGTCTTTATCTATCTACAGGTAAATTTCCCATATTCCAACCACGCTAGCCATTCAGGACGTAGCATATAAAACTTGATTCGTATCATCATTTTGGAGTTGAGGTTTACCGTGCATATGCTACTCGAGTCGCATGTCTGACTACTATGCGACATGCTTAGGTATCAATCTAACAACCCACTCCAAATCCGAAACTACTCACAACCCTGATGATGACCCCATGAATAATTGTAACAGTAGCCTGCAACATAGCACAATTGGGCTAGACATCGTTGACCAGGACCTAATCCGAACACTATGCCATTTGTCCTATATCAACAACCCATCTCTCGTACTGCACACATTACTACATGTAATGTCGTTATGTAGTGGCTGGATCTCCTCCATGTGCCATAATGCCATGCTGCCATAATAACTACCTATGCACCAGCTACTAGATCTACCATCCTACATAGCTGAGCATAACATGATGCCACTAATTATTCGTTTTCCCCATCTAGACACAAATTTAACATATTTTGGATGGACTCGTGCGGACAGCTATGCACTCTGGTGCTATCCCTTTACATACGCTGCCCTTACGCCCCCACTCTCTCCAACAACTTCCTAAACGATACCAACGGCTGGGCATCAGTAGTAATACTGGGAGCTCAAGAGCCTCAACCGCTACGCTCTTGGTCGCCTTCTTGCGGCTCGCCCAGCTCACGGGGACTTTGCTGACTGCCAGCGCCGCCTTCACCACTCGCACGCTCTTCTGATCTGGGCTTGCGGGCGAGAAAGTCTCCTGAGCACCACTTCTTTTGACGACTCATTCGGAGTCGGTCCCGCCTTCACTCCGGAAATAAACGTCCAACGAGGGGAATTCTCTGGATTCTAGGCTCTTCTGACGGAGCCGTAGCTTTTCGTAAATGGCTTCATGATGCCTGCTTTTTCACAGACATACAACGGCGGCCCAAGCCAGTACTCTAAGCCTTGACCTTTATTCGCTATGGCTCAGATTGAATGAGTATCGGTCTAGGGGGTGGATAACCTTTCTATTCATATAGATAATTACATATTTGCTGTATGGGTAATTAAAAGCGTCGGCACGTCGGCTAGTTTATATAAACTGAGCTGGCCATCCTGAGACCTTGCGACTGTGTTGTAAGCTAGCACGACGACAAATAAACCAAATAGCCGCCGCTGCTGCCAAGTCTTTCATTTCTATTCATAGTGTGTTTAGCTATTTGGCTATGACATATTATTTACATCATTCATCTCCCCTAAACCTCTTATAATTCTCTCAAAAGATGCAAAGTCAAAGCTCGGGATCCGGCGTAGCGCTGTGAGCTGCCTATGTTGCAAGCTCAAACACTAAGCTAACTCCAGGCTAAATCTCAATACGTCCCTTCACGTTAACTCGGCGCAGGTACTAGCTTCCCCCGTATCGTACTGGATGACCATGCCTGAGATGTCCCAGTTGCTTTTCAGGACGGCATAATATCTGGATGTGTCTCCTAGAGCAAAAGTGAGCGAGGTAACAGCGAGGGGAAGTGAACTATCGCACGGTTTTGTGAGGTACTAGTACTTGCGATGGGGTAGAGAAAGGTTCCATCTTGCCATGATATCAGCTGATTAACTTGAATGTTGGGTACATTGCTAGCAGATCGACTACTTGCGCGGAGTAGGACTCCCCTAGCCTGTGACTTGGCACCGTTAACCTGACTAACTATGTTTGATCCAGCAAATTTGACCTCTTCGCTGCAGATGTATGTAATCGAACTAACGCTTGAATTCCCACGGCGAACATGTGGAAGTGAGGTCGATGAGGCAGTGTCAAGGCTAGAAAATACACCTAAAACGGCGACGAGAGTCCAGAGTTTCGGCATGGCTAGTCTCCTCACGAATCTGTTGGCTTTCTTGATGTGTGTATGTTAATAGCTGTCTCTCGACTTGTTGCTAGCTTCAAAATGTGAGTGGTGCGGTAGGTGTACCAAAACTCCAATGCCAGATACAGTAGTGCTTTATATATGAATTATTTACTTGTCTATTGGGAGTCGAATTGGCCTCAATCTACCTAGTATCTCGGACTGCCACAAAGAGCCTTACGACTCGTGAACAGTAGAAAGTGTGGATCACCTAAACAATGTAATTTCAGCGGGTTCAGACTAGCCTCACGTCGGAATCATTTACCACTTTCCCCCACTAGATGTGTGTGGGACGTTGATAACTCCTCTGCCTTTAGGCCAAGAGTGCCTATACCTGGGAAAATATATGCTATCCTGTGATTCATTTGCCTCTCATATCCAAGAGTAACAGTCCCAACAGCTTCTCGTTTGATTGTACACTTACAGAGGCCATTTGTCCTCTGTTATCCCCGCCCTTGGGGCGAAAAGCCAAAGTCCGATTAAGCGTGTATAGATGCCGAGAAGACTCGCAAAGGCCACTCAGGATGAATGCTCCTGGTTAACGATATCCGGCCTTTGTCCAATTACCTAAGTGCATCTATAAAGTGTCGAAAGTGGCCGGGAAATTGGTCACTGTAGACTTGTATTCAGCTGCGATAGTGGCTATTCTTCCCTTTGCTCGTGCTCAGCAAGCAAAAGGGGCCTTGCCGAGAGGATGCAATAAAAATAGTCCGGCTCAGCTATTTCGAGCGTCTGGGCACGGGTAGATGGCGTAAAACCAGCAACAACAAGAGAAATCTTAGCTAATTCTGCGCTCCATCCCAACACATAACACTCTGTGGGGAAAGCTAGACTTGGGGTGGAGGCTCTGATGGCATTTGTTAGATCTTCGTCCCCTGCCATTGATTCATTTTATTTCACGCCCAATGTAAATAAAGACTGTCTTCTGAATAATCCGACCGGCTGGAGTTTTTCAGCACCCTCTTGCGTTGGTGAGCGCATGGCCGCTGTGGCCGTTAAGTGACTAGCAAATCCCGAGAAAGTAAGAATGATCCGACTAGACATGCGGTCACTGGCGTCCGCTGCCTGGTCTGGCGGTGAAGATGTAATCTCTCCGTTTCGCGAATTACTCCACGAAGCCAGGCCGGTGGAAATCTGCTTGATCTCGGCAAGATCGCTGCAGCCGGCGGAGATCACTAGAAATCTAGGCCTAGACTGCGCCACAAACGCCGGCAACATTTTGGCATTTGACACTAAACCCATTCGACACAACGGTTGAGCCAGGCGACCCAGGTCCGGTGTACTGGGTCGATCTCGTACCCACAATCCTCTTTCCCTCTAGAACCTCCATGGACCCTGGATAATTCTTCTCCCGCGGAATCCACCTCTGCCCTTCCGAATTGAGGTCCTGCTGTGTTTCCAGGTCACCTGGCATCAAAAAGTGGATTACACTACAAACAGGTCCGTGTTGTATTAATTACGTAACTTCATTCTACAGTGCCTCTAGGTTGGAAAAGGTAAAACTTCAAACTGGGTTGTTTAAGGGATTAGCCCTGTAGGCGTAGCTGGGCTAGCTCGCAATAGGTTAGACTGTCTCTCCTCCTTCCTCCGCTCGCCGTTGAGTATGGTCCGATTGTCTTGTTCTAACAATCGCTTCAAAAACACATTTTCAACGACAATTTTGGCTGCTTATCCTACACAGCCTTTGAAACTTAACATCACTATCAATCCATACTCTTTTCAAGTAAACAATGTCTGTCCAAAAGTCTGCTTCAGAAACGAAAGCTCGCAAGCACCAAACTCGCGATCAATATATTGAAATAAGAACACTAAGAAGACTTGGCTTGACATTACAACACATATCCGACGAACTTGGCATCACAAGAAGGCAAGTGCAACTAACGTGTGCTCGAGAGACATAGAATCCTATGCCTCGCAATGGACCCTCACCAAAATTAAGCGCGGAACAAGTTGATGAGCTTGAGGCTTTCGTCCGGGAATCTCCTGAAAATCGACAGATGTGCTATTTGGAACTAGCAATGGGACCCTTCAGCCACTGGAGATGCAGTGAACGTTTAATTTCTAATGCACTCAAAAAAAGAGGTTACAGCAGATGCATTGCTCTGGAGAAGACTCCGTTAAGCGCGGTGAACAAGCAGAAAAGAATGGTGTTTGCCCAATTAGATATAGATTGGAGCGAGGAACAATGGAGTCAAATGCTATGGACTGATGAAACCTGGGTATCAGTTGACTCTCATATGAAACCTCGTGTTACAAGAAAAGCACATATAAATTCTATCAAAATCTTCCCTATACTAACAGCAGAGTTTAGCCTGATGATGTGTTTGATGAGACTTGTTTTGTAGCTCGCCATGCTCATGGGAACAGTTGGATTTTTTGGGGATCATTTTACGGATCACAAAAAGGCCCATTCCTAGTACGGGAGAAAGATTGGGGATCAATGATGGCCTCGTCCTTTTTGGAAAGTATTTTGCCTCTTGAATCAATTTCACTCGGAAAATCCAGAAATTCTATACATGCACGTCAACGTACTATGTCATAATGCGTATTCAACAATTGGGGAGCTGCGTGAAGTTGGAATAACGCCTATTAGATGTCCACCTTACTCTCCGGACCTGAACCCGATCGAGTCATTGTGGAATATCTTAAAAAACTACATTCAGGTAAATAATCCTGAGATAAATGGGGTCAGGCTTGTCCGCTCTACCACGTTGAAGACATTACTACAGGATGCATGGGACTCTATACCTTCTGAGGAGCTATTGTCACTAGTTGGCAGGATGCACGAAAGATGTGTAGCAGTGATAAAGGCAAATGGAGGGTACACAAAGTATTAGGATGGAGAAGACACACAAAACATGTAGCACGCTTTCATTTTAGTTGCGAGCCATACTGAGGGCTTCGATGTAGACTTTTGTAATACAGAGCAATAATTTTTGAAATAAATGTGCATTTTTAGAGAATATCAATTGATTTTTTTAAATTTGAATTTCAAATAAGGACCATTGTACATTTCCATTATAGTTGAAAACCGTCCCCATTAATTTTGACTTTCACGGATTATCGTTGGATTGTACCCCTGCTTGCATCTCTAGTCGATAAACTAGACATGGGCCTGCATGAAGACTAAACCAATCTTATCGATATGCTCAGGGATCTAACCCCAGTTATTTTGAAAATTTTACATTTGTCATCCTTAAGAGACTGTAGAAAAGGGTATTGTAGTTTATGTGGGAGTTTTGGCGGTGATAATTTGATGAACAACTTACATCAGACTTAACGAGCTCCACAGGCATCCAGTGATACTTATTACAGGCCTATTTTGAGTTCCAAGCCACCTCGCAACCCCCACGCCACAACGCACAAGGATGCCAAAGATACAATTGTCATAATGACTGGGGCTAGATCCCTGTACATTTTACCTTAATTGGTATGGTCTTCATGCAGGCCCATGTCTATTTACTCGACTAGATATGCAAGCAGGGGTACTATCCAACGATAATCCGTGCAAGTCAAAATTAATGGGGACAGTTTTCAACAATAACGGAAATGTACAATGGTCCTCATTTAAAATTGAAAATAAAAAATTAAATAAAATCAATTGATATAATCTAAGATTACACATCTATTTGAAAAACAATTGCTCTGTACTACAGAAGTTTACATCGAAGCCCTCGGTATGGCTCACAAGCAAAATGAAAGCGTACTACATATTTTGAAATAATCTGCGCCATCCTAGTATGTGTGTTTTATTGTACTACTTGAGTCTATGACTAGCTAGCACATTGGGCTCCTCTCTGACCCAGGCCACACCTTGTACAGTGCTCCTATCCTCTTTTGATACATGAAAGATCATTGAAATATTCCACTTGATGAATAGCCATTCAGCTCAGTGTTTACCCGTGGAATTCAGCCACCTTTTCCACGGAACCTTCTACCCAAAAAGAGTAAAAATGGCAGCTATGGAAACTTCGTGCGCGGGAAAAAGTCTCAAAAAACCTGCAGCCCCGGCCAGGCGAGGCCTAGATATCAGCGCCACATGAGGTGCGCATATTCATATATGTCTCCCTTCTTTGTAACAGTCGAGGCCGACTTGATCCAATCCGCCATCTCTGTATCGGGTGCTGGGTACGCTCCAGAAACTCATAGGATGGCTTTTCCTCCATGATCAAGGGTTGGTGATGAGTAGGGCTCCGACCCTACCATCTGATCTGATCGTGGTTAGCTTCATGATAATGGTGATAGGGGAATGTGTTGAGAGATGAAGACGATACAGACCGCGAAAGCGATTGGGAATCCTCTTCGAAGTGAGGACTTTGTTACTCAATCTCGGCTCTGCAGACTCTACGGTGAGAGCTGGAGGTTCGTAGTGGACACCGCTGACAGGTGTTGAGAATAGTCCCCCTGCGCCATCCTAGCACTTCGTGAACCCTCCATTTTCATTTATCACCGCTATACGTCTTTCGCGCATGTTAACCACACTTAACGGAAGCTTCTTCCGAGCAATGCATCTGCTGTAAGCTATTTTGTTGAGGGCATTTGTGTTGTGAATTCATCGTGTCAGCTCCGATCGAGCCTCCTCGGGCTCCCACCATCGCGGCACTCGGACACTCGGCCGCAGTAAGCTAGATGAGATTAGGCCACTGATAGCACAGCTAAGTACCTAATCACTCTGGCAACATCCCTACATCCGAGCGTTGCCTGGTGGACCAATGCGTTTAGACTGAGGTGCACATCAGTCTGATGGCTACCGAGAGGCAACAGCATATAATGTGACGACGGTGTATAGCTCTGCAATCCCGGGAGTTCCACACTAGCAACCATTCATGTATTCCTCTGTCCCCTCTTTTTTTTTTGCATCAGATTTTAATTGCGTATGCAGCTATCTAGCTATGACACAATATCAAAGAAAAGTACAGAATAGATGATTCAACGTTAAGGAAGAGCACTCATGCCTCAGA